GGGATTTTAAAGAAAAAAACCAAGGAAAGGGGGGGCCCAAAATGTGTTGGAAATGTTAAAAAAGGAAATGGGGTTTAAAGGACCCCTTCCAGGGACCAAGGGGGGGGGGGAAAAAGTTTAAGGTCAATTTCGGGCCGGGGGACATGGGCCTTGGGGAACGTCAAGGAAGACATGGGGCGGGGGGGGAGGAGGGGGACAAGTTAAAATGGGATGGGGGTTTGGGGGGGGAAAACCGGGTCCATGTAGTGGGGAAATTTCCGGGGTCGGAAGGGGGGGGGGAAGTGTACTTGCCCGGGGGGGGAAAAATAAAAGGGGGGTACAGGGGGATTTTTGGGGCAGGGAATAGAGGGGGGGGGAGGGTAGTTTTATGGGGGAGCAGAAAGGGGTTTAAAAAGGGGGGAAGGGATTTTTTTGGGATAAACAGATTGGGGAAAACTTTTTTGACCCCCCTTTGGAAAAGTAGGAAGGAAGGGTTGGCCATGGGGGTTGGGTCCTGGGGGAAAAATGTTCCTTCCTTTGGGGGGGGGGGGGTAAAGGGTTTAACCGTTAAAACATGCAAAAAAAAAGGGTACCCCCCCCCCCCCCCCCTCCCCGCCCCCACTTTCTCCTGTCTCTGTTGCACTGTGTCTTCTTGACGGGTTGTTTTTGTCGAGCACCTCCAACCAAGCACACCGTTGTTAATCTATTCTGTCAACGCCCACGTCGTTCCACGGAAGTAACCGCGGCGAAAAGTCTGTGTACCACAACCACCGTGGGAGTGAACCCCCCACCCGCCCTCCTATCTCTTGACTGTTTCCAGCAAGGTACCCCCACCAAACGTGGCGAGTCCAATACCTGGGGTAGGCGTTTCGCAGAACGGGGCGCTGGCGGCGACGGCTCTGGCGGCGGCGGTGGCGTCGGCGACGGCAGCGGCGGCGGCGGTCGGGGGTGCAGGGCCACCCCCCTCGGGACAGGTGCGCCACCTATGTACCGGGAAAGGGGAGCGTCGATTGCTGTACGTGGAGAAATGAGCTGTTTCGGTCTGAAGTATTGTTGTGCTGATATCAAAACGAATTGTGCTTGAATGTACAACTGTGCGTTTTTTTTTTTTTTTTCGGTCTGGGTTTGTAAGCTTGCTGTCGTGGGGGCCAAAGGCTCGATTCGTATGCATACGGGGGTCCTGCTTGCTGCAGTGGGACAGACCGCTTGCGGTTGTAGGGGTCATGGGACGAGGCGTGGTGGTCGTGCCTGAAACAGCGCAATCAACGCCTCCTTGCAATATTACGCGACAGGGATAGAAGACGGGACTCTGCGTGTGGCTTCTGCGATACCTCTTCACGACTGCCACTAGTACTATTAAGGCACCAGGTGTCGGCTCAATTGAGGACGACTGTGCGCCCGGCTGCCGTTGTTGTTTGTGTAGCCACTCGCCCCCAAGCTCGCGGTGGGGAAAATTTTTCCTCTTGTGTGGGTGCACGCCGGGGATTGGTATCGTGCGTCCTGTACAAAGCGTGTGCATGTATGTGCGGGCAAGTTCTAGCAAGGCCATTTCTCTCAATAGTTTCTGCGGAGACCGAGTCTCGTTCGAATAAGCGACTGCATTCCCAACATAATTTGTTTTTGTTCAACATTGAACGGCGGAGTGTGTTCGTTGCCGCGCTTGGTTGTTGACGACGAGGCCGTACCACGTGTCTGACTCTCGTCCTGTACGGTACGCTCGTGGTTTTTTTCGTCGTCATCGCACTTGATCATATGCGTAGTATTATTTCTTCTATGTTGTGTGGAAGATATGCACATTACACCGCCTGTACCCTAAGCCACGCGGAACGTACGCCCGAACTTGAACCGTTTCCAACATCACAAAGCTGACCCGATGCTGCTGGGTTTTCCACAGATGGCAGCGGCGTTGTCGGGCGGAGGGATCACGAGCAAGGTGGACGTGACCTACCTCAACTTCTTCCTCAAAGAGTTCAACGCGGTGAGTTGGCGCAGCGGTGACTATTTCGTTTGGGCACTGCAACGAGGGGGGTGGGAGGTACACGAACATGGAGTAAGCATCACAAGGGTACATTGGAGATAGGGCTGGAAAGTATCGTGTTTTGAGAGACCCAGTAAATCATGACACGCCTGCCCCTGAGCCTGTCCACAAGCGGGTGTCCGGACCACTATTGATCGTCCAGGCTGCTGGTGACTGTAGCGGTGGAGGTGTGGTGGTCGAGATAGCAGGAAGTGTGCATCTCAGCGTCAAGACGTGTGCACGTTGGAGGGTAGCGTGGAAAGACCGCGCCCTTCTCGAAGCGTAGGTATACAACTTAGTCCCGTAGAGTAACTGCGCGTCCAAACCTATGTCACATTGTTGACCAATGGGATCTGAGTGTTCACATTTCGCTCAGTGCCTCCTACGGCATCAGCAGTTGTCGATGTCATCATCATTGTCCCCACGACGACCACCTCCATCACAATCGTCGACGTCGTGAAAAGTTGACACCAGAGCTCACCTGTCTTCGCCAAATCCTGTGCGTTGTGTCACAATTGTCGAGTTTTTGCGAGGAGGCTTTGTTCTGCTGGCGACGGCGCAATACTTGTTATTTGGTTGTTCCAATGGTGTTTATTTTGTTTTGTTCGCCATCTCCTTCCTTCCCAGTTTGTCCCGCTGACGACGCAAGACATCTTGCGGGACGCTCTTAACCCGGTGCCGGCGGCCCTGACGGAACGATCGTTCCACGGAGACGAGGAGTATAGAAGACAGGTGACACGTGCTTCTGATACTTGGTTGTGGTCGTCAACACAAGTACAGATAGTGCCGGTACTGATGAACTGCGTACCTGAGAACAGCTATTCACGTCAAAGCTTACATGAACAACTTGGGCACCGTTTGGGGGCCCGGTCAAGGCAGTTTGCGAGTCCGATTGAGAACCCCTATGTTGCAATCCGAATTGTATAGCAGCCACTGTTAACAAGAGCAAGTAGGACCAGCCTCGGCCACAACTACTAATAGAGGTGGCGGGCGCTATTTGTAGCTGTAGGGTTTGTGCTGCTGTCTTTTGTTGTTGTCTGCTGTTGGTTGGACGTATGTTTTTGCTTCTCTTTTTGTTAGGCTTTGTTGTGTTTGCGCCATTGGCGCTAGCATTTCTGCCCTCGGCGTTCAGGAGATCATAATTTATTGATTTTCCGTCGCTTTTGGAGGTTTGGTTGATGGTTGTGTCTATTTAGAGATGTGTTTTTCGTGCTTGCCGCCAGAACAGTTGTTTGCTGGTTTTGTTTTCCGTTGATTCGTGTCAGTTCTTGTGCTGTTGATAGCGACGGTCATACGGAATGCTTGGGATGTGACGAATGATCACTACTGTTCTGAACGAACCGAGAGCGCTACGTGCACCGTTTGTGTTTTCGACCAAACTCCCGGCTCACAAAACATAACCCTGAACTCCGCACATCACGCACCGGATTGATTGCGTTTCGTCGCTGTTTGGTTTGTTCAGAACGCTCGGGTGGCCGTGATCCAAGGCTGCATCACCATCGGCGCGTTGCTCAAGGGGCACACACAGGTAGGCTTCGTTCGACCGACCACCCTTCACGGCAAAATATTTGTGACACCTTCAATTTGCACCACCTTATTATCTGTTTCCGTCCACGTGTGTAAGCGTACCGAAGTGAATCATGTACACTGGAAGAGGCTGGTGTGCCCAAATGGGAGCCCCTATTGTCAGCATCTTCTTGCCACATGTTTGCGTTTTTTCAGACAGAGGAGTGCTCCCTGCCTAGTACACCATGTGTGAAGCAGAAGATCGCGCAAAAGGTGTCCGAAATAACCATGGAGCACTCAAAGTTCTGAGGCAAGCTGCGGCGGTATCTCACCCCCCCCCCCCTCCCCCAGGGGGTAGGATACCTGCGTAACGTGCGGGAGGCACTGACCAACTCCTTCCACTTCGTGAGCTCCCAAAAGAAGAACGCCTACATGGTGACGGCCTACTGCCACGACCTCATGGGAAATGCGGCGGCTACACGGTAAGCGATAGAGCTACCGATCCCCGCGTGTGCGTCGATGTCGATGTCGGCGGCAGGTGGCGTTGGTGTACGAAAACCGTAGAGCGTAGATCCTCTTGCGGCAGAATCTAGGGGGGGGGGGGGGGTGGCCCTTTTTTCGACACCCCTTTTCAAAAAACCTTTTGTGGGGGAAAATCCGTTTTCTTGACATTCCCCCCGTCCCCCGACCCCCGCAACTCAATAGGTACCCCAGAGGGCACGTGCAGCGGGAGTTCTGAGGTCTTGCCTCCCCCCGCCCAGATGTTTCTCCCCTTCATTATTCCAGTTTGGCATGGGGGCTCATACTGTGTGCTAGGGTTTATTGTGGTATTAGTGAGAGCTATTGCTACACTTATTGTAGGTAGGCTTTAGTATGACATTCTTTAACCGATACAGCATTTGGTTTGGCTATTGCCAAATCGATACGGTCTTCACTGTATAGGGTTTAGTGTAGGAATTCTAAAGCCCATATTGTACAGAGGTGTAAAGTTTAAATGTCTTCGCTAAGTCCTACGAGGTCACATCAAAGCACGCATGTGATTCGCAGGTTTAACGAAATATCACACTAAGCCTAAGCCATACTTAGTACAATACAAGATTCCACGTTTTCATTGGCATATCACACTAAATCCTACCACACGATACCCCCCCCCGCCCTGATTTGTCCTTAATCCAGTTTCCCGGTTTTAGGCGTATTCTTTTGTACATCTCGACTCCTACTCCAAAAAACATCACTTTCCAGGATCGGCAAATTCCGGTTGCAAAAACGTCCGGCTGTTCTTACAGTGCACCGGATTTGTCAGGCAGATTCTTGGGGGGTGGGTGTAGATCAAACCCAGACGACATAATCGGAGAGTGCGACCTGAGTTCTTGGCGTATCGCTCCCATCAAGGGTTCCAAGCAACCCTGGTTGTTGATGGTCGCTCGGCACGCGTTCGCAAAAAAACATATCGCATTCCACCAAACATGGAGACGCCGAAACAGGCCAAAACGTCACTAGACAACAATTGGTCAGAGAGGGGAGGACACTGCAACTGATTTCTCGCTCCCTCGGCCACCGATCGAAGCCAGGCCGGCCAGGATATGCCCTCTGTTCCTTGCTCTCTGCCGGAGTAGATTTGCTCAGCAGCTCGTTGATCCAATCATTCGAAATCGTCGTCTGCGTGGGCACAAGCTGTCTGTTGAAAATTGTTTTCAGGTCTTCAACACATGAGTCTATTCTCAAGTGAAACAGAACAGAAAAAATCACAGTTCGAAAGGGACACCACGCGCATGCTTCTCTCCGTCGATTGAGGGTACGAGCTGCTGAGCAAATAGATACTCCGGCAGAGAGCAAGGAACAGAGGGCACATCCTGGCCGGTCTACCTTCAATCGGTGGCCTAGGGAGCGAGAAATCAGTTGCGGTGGCCTCCCGTCTCCGACCAAAAGCGGCTGTTTTTGTTGTCTCGTGGCGGTTTTGGCCTGTTTCGGCGTCTCCGTGTTTGGTGGAATGCGATATGTTTTTTTTACGCACGCGTGCCGAGCGACCATCAACAACCAGGGTGCAGAATAGCGAACCCTTCAGCGAAGGGTTTTGCTCGGAGACCTTGATGGGAGCGATACGTCAAGAAGTCAGGTCGCACTCGCCGATCATGTCGGCTGGGTTCACCAGCGGTGACTTTTGGGATAGAGAATCCGGCTGAGCACCATCCTGAATTCTGCCCAACTCTTTGGGTGAACGCAACACAGATTCCTGACGCTAGAATATGATGACCCGAAAAAGTGACAAATCCGGCTGTATGCGAAGCGGGACTTTTGCCGTATTTTTTTTATTAGGAAGCCAGATGTATAAGAATCAGCCTTAGTGCCCCGCCCGGATCGGTCCTCAATCGAGTTTCCCGGTTTTGGTGCTGACCGTCAGAAACGTGCCCTCGGCCTTCCCTCATTGTTTCGACCTCTTCGTTGCTGACGCTGCATCCGGGACCCCTGTTTCCCTGTGTCGGCGCTGGTCGGCAGCAACTACATGGAGTTCGCGAAGGCGGTGGCGACGCAACTCCCGCAGGTGACGGTGGACCACGAGCTGGTGTTTCAGTTCTACCGCGTGTGCTCGGAGGTGCACAACTGCACCCTGTCGGCTACACCCAAGCTACTCCAGCACGCGGGCGCGGCGGCTCCTTGCTACCAGGTGCGCTCTCTCAGAAGGGTCCGATTCATGGTGTGTGTGTTTCTTTGCAACATCGACCCGGCTTTGTGTGTGTTTGTGAGTATGTGTGTTTTGTTACTAGCATCGACCGCGCTAACCGGCTGACCAATGAAAAGACGTCGCCTCAGTGCGGTTGAAAACAGAAATATGTGTGTGTGTGTGTATTCGTGTTTTTGTTTTTTCTGTTTTGTCGGCGGTATAGTAGACGCGATGTACTGAGTTATGGGCAAACAACATTACACTAAAATGTATGCCTTCATTTGACAGGTGCTCAACGTACTGACATACGCCTTGTACGACCTGGCCCATCTTGCCGCGGAGGAACTCACCAACACCATTTCCAAGGCGCAGGCGAGTACCATTGTGTTAGGCTGCCGCTGCTGCGGTAGCTGTTTTATGCACCAAACGATGTTTTGCTTGGACGTATGGCTAACTCATGGTAAAGTTCTCGGCGTGAGCGACAAAAAAAATGGCTGGGACGGAGCTAAAGGTTGTAGTTTGCGACGTACTTTCCGACGGAGGGCAAAATCCCGTTTTTTCATGGCGATAAGGGGCCCGTCACCTGGCACCCGGCAGGTTTGGTTCGATTGTTGCTGTTTGTGTCCAATGTCGTTCACGTAGTGACGGTGGAGTTGAGCCCCCTGTCCCGGCCCTGACGACTGAACCGTCATTATTCTGTAGTTCCTGCTTCTAGGCCGGATTACCCCGCCACCCCCCACCCTCCACCCCCGCCCTTCGTGGACTCGGCAACCAGGTTACCGTTTTTTTTTTTCCCTCTGTTTTCGCGGTAACCATAATGGTGGTCGAGTAGATCATGTTGTGCGGGGTGGAGAACCCTCACTCTGCGCAAGGGGGATGATCGCACCACGTTGTGTTAAAATGGTCAAGCATCCTCGAGGCAGTTACACAGTGCTTACAACTGTTTCTGGAAGTTAACGCACCAGAAAATAAATTAAGTCATACGCAGCTGTCATCCGTACGCAAGGAAGTAAGCACAAGATGCCGAACACCCTTCGCAGGATGCAGGGCACCCTTCATGCGACTCGCCGAATACCTCACGGCGCTTCGCGCTTGGGATGTGAGAGCCTGGTCCGGTGAGAACCCGGCGTGCTCCGTCCCGGCTTTGTAGGGATGCGAGGTCAATGGTCTAACGACTACGGCATGCACGACTATGACTACACCCCCCCCCCCCCACACATTTGGCAACTTATACGGTTACGGTAAAGATCACCTTGTGGTTATTCTGAAGTATTTTGGTTCCAAGTGTGGATCGACGAGACAGCGGTCTCACTGTTTGGTTCTCTCCCGCCATACAGGTGATGGCGGAGTTGAACTCCCTCTTGCCGATCCTGACACGTGCTGACGGCATGAGCCGGGACAACTCGTCCTCGTTCGGAGCTCTCGGCGTCGTGCTCGTGAAGGGGGTGTTGGCCTACATCTTGCTACGCTTGGGTAGGAGCCAAGACGGGCTGGAGGTGTGTGCTGGTGATGATGTTGCCGTTTCGGTAGTTTATTTCTCGCCTGCGGTGACTGCAAGAGGTGTCGGAGCCGCTTGTTTTCCTCCACGGCAGCGTCCTCAAGGCCGCCACGTGTATGTTTCACAAAAACATTGCACAAAAACCTTGTTAGACGCAACGTTTTTCCTCTTGCGTGAGGCTTTTCGTATTTTGGCAGGGGTGACGGGTAGGTTAATCCGTGTCCACAACGTCGTGGATGCGAAACGGTCTGGGGAACGTTCGGTTTTGTTTGCTGTGGCCCTTGTGTGGCTTGTTTTTCTATCCGCAGCAAACGTAAGCTTGCTTGGTGGATGTCCTAGACGGTTGGCGTGGAATACCGGGCGCAGCAATTTTTGCCTTCATCCTAAGACGTCCGTGTGCCGTTTGTGTCGGTGTGTCTGGGCGACCCCATTGTTACTCCCGCAAATGACGTATCCAAGTATCGTTTTCGTACCGCGACAATACGGAACGAAAGCTTCAACTCGGTCTGCGCGGAGTGTTTTCATGAGGACTTGTTTTCGCAAGGGCTGATTGTTTTTGTTTTGTTCTCGTAGTTTGCGACGCGTGTTGGACGCGCTGTTACGCTCACACGTGAATCACGAGACTGCCTTGGCAGCAGGTGCTTCGCAAGCTTTCCTTGTCCGAAAACCTGCGCGCCATGCTGTGTTTACGTAGAGCCGTCTACTGTAGCTCCTCGTTCCAAACCTCCACAGCAAACATTCGTGTTTTTCGCCCAAACTCCCTGACGTTGTTCCCATAACTTATTGACTGCCGTGTCCACGACTGGGTTGCTCTCGTCTACTGGTGGTATCGTAGGTGCTGGAGCCGGTGGTGGGCATCCTGGCGGAAAACCCGGGGCTGCTGCGGCAGGTCATGTGCTGGCATTTGTCACACTGCATTCTGGTAAGCCATCACCAGCAGAGCGTGTCGTGTCTATACAGTTCCTTGTCTACCTTGTGTCTTGTTGTGTGGTTGTTGGAAGTGTTCCATGGTCCGTGCCGCCGTGATATTGCCCATCTTGTTGATCATCCCATGTTTTCCATGTCATTTAGCTTGCGCTTACGAAGCTCGAATCGCTATGGGCCGCTTTTGGAGCCTCCCATCGGACTATGCCTGTGTCGGGCATCGTCCAACAGTAATACAGCGGGGTGTTGATTGACTGCCGTTGTTCGTAGCAGCGTGGTCGCCGGTCCAACAGTGTTGTGTGTCTTGCCATGTACACTATGGTTGAAGCCCTCGCACTGTCCTTTCCGTCATGATTGTCTTGCCCGAAACCAAACAGTCATTCAAGTACGATCGTGTTAGTGACTGAAGCACGCACTTTCATGCTCATCCTGTGGCGTGCCCGTTGTTGGGGGTGCCGGCAAATGTTCTGCGCCGGCAACAATTTTATTACAGGTGATCTTCCTGGAGCATGGGTGGTTCAAAGAATACGAAATCACGCGAAACATTTACAACAGCCTTCTGGAGCCCGAACAGGGCGGGCAGCACTTCGCAGTGTGGGGCCGAGGCCATTTCCAGGTACATCACAAATTCTGGAGTTTGGGGTTGCCACATGTCCTGGGGGTTTCTGCTTTAGACTTGGGCTGTTTCGGCGGTCTTGCTCGTAGTCTTCTTAAGTGTGGACTTTTTTTTTTTAATGTTCTTCACTTCAAATCAGCGCTCACAGCACTAGTGCTGTTTATTCCAACCCGTGGTCACACAGAAGAGCCTCTCTCTACCCTACCCTCCTGCGGTACTTCGCCTTCAATTTTTAATGCGAGAAGAGTTCAGCACTCTCTTCCCTCTGTGTACACACGAACTAGCGCTACCCACTTGGCCAGGAGCGGAAGCGAGAGAAAAACTCACTTTGCAAGAAAAGCTCGCCTACGCCGGGATTCGAACCCCTGCCCTGACCTCTAGAAGGTTACGAGGCTACCAACTAGACCACCGGGGCGACCGGCTATAGGAACAGGTTGAATGCCATTACGATGGCGGGGAATAATAATCGCTCTTCGCTTTGGGGTCGAGTGGGGGGGGCGTTATCGTCAAGGAGTGCAATGCATTCTCAAAAGATAATATCTGTAGTTGGGCGTAATGTATTATGGTACCTGTCAGATGTGGGGAAAGTAGTAAGTGGAGGCAGTCCGCTTCAATTGTTACGTTCAGGGGCCCAAACTTACCGTGTTTCGTCATATCTGTGTTGTTGGTGTCTGTGCTCGTGTTTCTCCTTGTGTGCAGGATGCGACCCCGTTCCCTCCGGTGGACAGCCTCCACTCCCAGGGAAACTCCTTTTTGTGTTCTAACCCCATCTGCAAGGCCATCAACAGGGACCTCAGCGAGGGCGTCGAGGCAACCGTCGCCGCACAGGTTTTGATACAATGCCTTGGCTCTTCGTTCCCTACCCGCTGAACCTCCCGTGCCCCTTTTCTCCCTCTATTCAGTCAGGTTTGGTGCCTTCGTATATCCCGGAATTTTGTTTTGCTACGCCGTTCGTGCGGTGCTCTCTCCCTGCCCTCACTCCATGTCCGATGACCACAACAACTCTTCAGGGCCGTTTTGCTGCGGCATCGAACGCCGCCGGGCCGCAGCCGGTGATCAATATGGTCACCGGGGAAGGCTTCCTCAACTTTGACTCGGAGGCGGGGGTGAACGTTTCGGTGAGATTTGACTGCCCGCCAGAGTTTCCGCAAGTACCATGTTTTTTCCCCTGTTGCATGAATCCATTCTACATCGCGGCAAAGAAATTTCGTTCCGTGCAGCCCAGCCCGCAGGATGGTTTTTATCCTGTTTCGGGAAATAGAGCAGCCCAACTGTCGTTATTTACCATGTTCCGTTTTCCGTCGCGGCCCCGTCCCGCTTAATTTCCATGTACGATCGTTTAACACTAAAGAAAAGAAAAATTATTATATAAATTGGAGCTTTTTAAATTTTTTAAAACAAAATATAACTGGCGGTGCTGATACGCCCTCGTCGCTCTCCTGCGGAATTCCCTGTTAACAGACCGCCTCACCCAAGCCGTCCCTGCCGGGCTTTGGCTCCAGCTGCAGCTCCGGTACGGGAACAAGCCAAGCGTCGCAGGGATCACCACAACCGCCCGTGTCGATGTCTTCGTCGTTTTCAGTCGGGCAGCAGCATCCGCAAGCGATGTTGATGACTCCCGCTGCTGCCACGACTCCCGCCGCTCTACACAAGGTGTGCGGCGCCTTGTTTGGCCCCGCTTGACGATGGTCTTGGATGAATGGACACGTGTGGACAAACAGTTGAAGACCCCGGTGATTCGTCAACGGACACAATCCACTACTGTCTACCCTTTCAGCGGTACCCATCCGTAACCGAAACACCCCGCTCCTTTGCATACCACCATAAGATATTTTGCTTGAGATTCATATGTACCTGAGGACGAGCGTAATCATATCAAGTAACAGCAGGCCTCAGAGTTTTGTGTTGTCCTGCTGTCCCTTTTTTATGCATCCACATCCCTGCGGCGAAAGGGGGCTGTTCCGACGAGAGCGGCGATGTCGGCGATATCGGCGGCCGACGCCGGCAAGAAGAGGGTGTTGTCAGATCGCACCGCCTACGTCCCCTCTGCCGGGGTCCCAGGGGTTGGGGCTAGTGCGGGAGGGGGTTGGAGTTGCTCGGGGTCTGTTCGAGAAAGTGAAGGCGGCGTTTCTCCGGCGATGGGCCAGGTTCGTTTTTCTGACCTACGTTGATCTGTGTTATGCTGAACTTCCTTACGGAGCTATGGCAAGAGCCCAACTCACCCAGCCAGAGTCGCTGCTAATACTGGTACGGGCTTGTGTGGCAAAAGCGAAACGTGCGAATCGTTTATCTTTCCGTCACTGGGCGGCCGCACTCTGCAACGTGTGTCGGTTAGAACCACGGAGAGGCTGCTTGCGCAGTTGGCGTATCGAATCACGACGTGGGTCAAATTTTCCATGATTCATTAACTCATGAGCTTATTTTTCGCCGCAATCACTCCACGTCCTCCCTTCTGCATTCCAAAGTCCAAGGAAGAGGATATGGGAAAGGCGGATTGGCTTGGACGAAGATCAAGGTCCCGAAACACGCATTTGTTCGATACTGGCATTTGGTGGTGGGGCCCAACTCATTCCAGTACTGCTTTAGGATGGCAGCTGTGATGACACTCATGGACCCTGTGCATGCCTAATACGCGACTACCACAAACTTAGAACCGACTGTGGCCCACAGAGAGCGGCACGGACTTTCACGTACCCCCACCTATGTTCCAAGATACATTCCCCAGAGGATTTATTCCCGCTGCCACCCACCCGCCCTCCTGTGGCCAGGCGAACGCACCAGCGAATGCTTCAGGAAGCTCGAGCTCTGTGACGCCAAGGACACGGTGATACCAAAGCGTGGCTTTGGATGATGCGCGATGACGGCGTGTTTCGACCTTGGACAGTGACCCCGTCTTGTGGATGGAGATGCCGCAGGAGGAAGGTTGAAGCATGTGTTGCGACCCGCTTAGGGAAATCGATGGGCTCGCCTTTTTTGGTGTCTAGGCTGTTACGGACCCTGCTATCATAGACGTCGTTTGCTCTTCGCGCGGCGGCTGGGTTCACTCTTGTGTGGTTGTCTTTAGGACGGCGAAAAGTACGTCAGGATCTGGTCATCGTGGAAAGCACGCACACGGTTGGTGCGGCCAAAGACAACCAGTACACCATGGACAAAGGATTTGTTGTCTTTTTTGGCGCAGGCGTTCGTTTGGAAAATTGAGTTTTTATTTGTTCTGTCTTTCTATCTGTACCGTGATCGAACCGTCATTGCCGGAAGGGTGACCAAGACATGTTGAAGCGTCTCTACCGGCTTTCTCTCTTCATGACCACGTGTATGCCTGATTTTGTCTTCCTCCCCTAAACTTCCACTTGATTCGTACTGTAGTCTAGTATTCATCGTGTTCTTATTGTTCGGTGTATCTCACCGACCGCCAATCATGTGTGCGTGTTTGGTCTCTACGTAGACCGGGGGGGGCGGAGGACCGTGCGCTAATCTCCGGTTACAACCCCATGTCCCGCCTCCATACGGCCGTGAGCGCGGGCTATAGCTTGATTCCCTTCCATCATGATTTTGTTGTTTGGTGAACGTACTCTACCGTTGCAGCGGATGTCCCGACGTATTGTGACTGCAATGGTACATCAAAACTAGGCTGGCGTACAACCTGTACGGAGTACGATAATTCGGTGACTTTTCGTGGGATGTCAACCGAAAGTGACTACGTACTGGTTTGGCTCATAATCAGGTGGGGTCGGTACCTCGAGAACCAGGTGAATCTCATGGGTCGGGCAGCTGCCGTTTTTGCTGGGGTGTTTCATGTTTCGTGCTCGCTCGGTTCTGTGTCTCCACTCACTCCCGGAGACGAGAGGAACGGATGGATGCGGTCCACGACCGCTCCCCTGGTCTCCACCTACCTCGGTATGAATCATACGTTGTTGGACACGCACCCTAGCTGCTGTTCCCGGCGGTGCTGCCGATGACAGTATCATTTAAAATAGATTACTGGTACTCTTAGCGTTTATTTGCCACCCTGGTGGACTTCGCTCGCGAAAAAACGAGAGTCAAGTACCACCAGTGGATGCGGAGAAAGAATGCGCGCAAAATAATCCAATGTAACCCTCGGATTTTGCTTCAGACAGATACTGACAGACGCACACACGTTTTGCCCAGAGCATATGGGACGAAAATAAACGGCAATAGACTTGTCTGGGAATCCTCCCTATCTTATGTGTATGAACTGCAGCGGCTTGGTCGCAAGCAACAGTTGCGACATCGGCTCGAATGTGTCCTTCGGCACCGCCGCGGTTGTTCGCCCGGGCACGCGATAGGTGGAACTGTCCTTGGTGTACAATGGACTTGCAAAACAACCGAGGAAGATGAGTCGTTTTCGCGCATTCCTCCGACCATGGGGAGGAGGCGCAAGTTCTTGAAACATCAACTGGAAAATAATTAATGTATCCTTGGCGTGCAAGCGTTCGTCCCCACTGGAACCTAAAAGCGCGTCGAAATTCAGGTATGTCTCGCTCATCTCCTCACACGGATAGTCGAGCAGTCCAGGCCTTGTGATAACCTCTGGAACAAGACAAGAATTGAGATGAACGACTGCTGTCCGGAACCTCGGCTGTGTCAATCCGTCACCCCTCCACATGTGGAGCCCATGCGCCATGAACCAACCCTGGCACGGCGCAAGAGGACCCTACGCCACCGAGCATCCTTTGAACTTGGCAGCGGTCCAAAGACGCTGTCTTTTGAAAGTGTGCAGGGCAAAGAGGTTAATCATTGCAAACGAAAGCACATACAACGCGAGCACATCGGCATCCACACCCAAACAAACGTGCGAAGCGGCTATAGCGTGGATGACATGCCGAAAGGGCACAATCGATTATATATCGCCCACGTTCACTAGAAAGAAGGATGGCTGCCAAGAGATGAACAAACGAACCTCACCACCCCCGATGCAAGCCAGTCAACTCCAGAGAATATGAGTTCCCTAAAATACGCTTTGCCCCTCGGCGTTGTTCGTTCGCACGGCAAAACGTTCGCAAACGGAGGACACGCAACCTAAACAGTGTGCCACAGAACAAAGTATTTCAGTCTTCAATGCTAGCATCGTAAAGTTAGAAGTCGCTCGTGACCTTGGTCGTCATGATGGCACAGGGAGTACGACAAGCCAACAATGAAAATACGCCAACCTTTTCTACCGTGGGTACTGACGGATATTGAAACGAGGAACTACTACATAGATAAGTGCCCTCCCAAGAATCTGATCGCAGATGCTCCAGAAACCCCCCTGATCCACCAAGGAAACGGCACCATTCTTGTGAGTGAGTCAGCACCAAGGCGGTATTCAGCGACGCCACCTGACCGCAAGACACCGACGGGGAAGCGAAGGCACCATGGAGGCGGCTGGCCGACAGCATGTACATTCATGCCATATAAACCAAGCAAACATGCTCTCGACCTTCTTCGACACGCACACCGAAAAATCCGTCGACTGCGTGCACTGGAAGCAGACATCAAGATAAAAATCACGTTCATAGGAACCCCGCCAAAGTCATGAGGAAAAAACCGGATGAGGTGATTGCAGCTAACGAAACGAGGAAACTTCCCTCGCAGGCTCCCGCTCAATCAACGACACGAAAAACAAGGGCACGGGGACTAGCGGCTAAAAATGAAACAAGCTGAAAATGGAACACCGTTCTCTCATGCTGCTGGCACTTTGGAGCGGAGGTAGACCGGAACATTGGCAATGTTGACCGTACCAAGCTCACGAACAAAACATACGGCAACTTCAAGCCTGATCATCACTCCTACCTAAGTAGCACGTCGAGGGAAACGCGCAAGCACACTGAACAAGCTCTTTTCTGAAACAAAAAACAGAAAAGAGCATAAAAGAAACACAAAAAGACGAGCATGGACAGAAGATTCTCAAGGCTAATTTGACAGAAATGCTAATAGTCACGTCAAAGTTCCGTAACAGTCTCATCGACACAGAGAAGAAGTTGGAGAGCACATTCACTGAAAACTATCCAACTCCCCAAGCAAAAAAACAGCGGTCAGAGCGGCGCGGGGGAAAAACCCCTGTTGGCGGAAGCCATGTACGAAACAACAGAGCATACGCCGTACGTGGACAAAGATCGTCATCCCCCTCATTCGCTTACCCTGGCGCCCCCGAGTTACCAGAGTTCGTGGGGAAATAGTTTAAACACGGACCGTTCCCTTGACGGCAGATAACCGATGACACGAAGCAACAACTCTAAACATTTTGCCTGCCATCTTCCTTCTCGCCAAGCACATGAGCTACCGCTTCCAAACGTCATTCGGTACTCACAACCCCACATTTATGGGCGCGCATGGAAAAGGTGTCCTCCTTTCCACCGTGTCCCAGGACGAAAGTGACACGGGACAACACGCTGAGACCACAATCATCCACCCTTCGGCCTTCTTGCCTTACTCAAGATGCTGGTGTACAGTCGCCGGGGTCGCTTGTTCAACCAAGACAGGAGAGCCAATACACGTCGCAGTCCGGGAGCAGCTGTTGGACGTCCGCCTTGGTCCCTATTGGCACGACAACACAATTGGAAGGTGTGTCGGTAGGTAGCAGTTGAGTGAATCGCGAGCATTCATACCTCAGCCTGCAGTCATCAGACCAAAAAACGTACAATCACTCACAGAACAAACTTCCGCATTGGATTCTGCAGACAGGGTTGTGAGCCTCGCTATTGTTTCATCGTCAGATGTCCGTGTGACCCAGAACAGTTCCCCGAACAAACCAGCCACCAATAGGGTTACACCGGGTAATGTCTAGCGAAGACGTTCACTTCGACGGTAGGGTGGACATCTGTAGGTGATGTCGTTTGCTACCATGGTTTGTGAAGATGTGGAATGTGGAAACCAACCAAGCAGGAGAAAGAGCAAACCTCGGCAAGCGTGGTAAGGACACAACGGTACACACAGGGCTTATGGGTTGCCTGGAACTCTGACAGTTCAGCGGCCAGCCACACGAAATAACTGATGCACAGCGTGGTCGTAGATAATGATAAGGGATTAGTTGTTAAGAAAAATCGCAGGGGGACAAGATTATTTGAAGTAGGAATGTTGATGCAACCACGGTCGTTACAACGGTCATCTTGTGAATGCAACCTTTTGCCTCTTTCGCTTCCAGGTAAGTATCGAGTTAACGTGAAACGAATCTTGAGGGATGCCACGACTTCTGTTCGGACGTTATATGCGACGGCCGCTGCGCCCATGCCTGCTTCGATTGCCAGGTACGCGGCGCGCATTCGAAGGCGAAGATGTTGTCGCTTACTCACTATCAAGGGTAGTTCTTTGCAATCCCTTGCCTCAACTCCATCATGCTGGGGCTTGGATTTCCTCAATGCATGGGATACAGATGTTGCGCCGAGCACAGCAATTCAGAGAGATACTTTGAAAGTGTCATATATAAGCAGGAGATATTTGCGATAGTCCAACGAAGTCGTCACGGTCTTGCTGATGCCGAATACTCGAAAAAAGGCATTTCCCGCGAGTTTCCGATAAACGCTTGAGTGGAATATCGCAACGGTGCGGGTTCGACAAAGGGGTCCCAGTAGTTTCGTGCGAAAACGGTCGGCGGGAGAGAGTACGATGACCACTCTGGACTCGCGCTAGGACACAGCGGAGATTCACGATCACATGTAAAACATTGTGCTCCGCTTGAGGGGGGTTCGCGGGAGCGTAATTCCTCTTGGAACCGGCATTTAACGGGGTATGCTTTTATTCGCTTGGACTATTCCGAGACCTGCAACGCGTCACGTGGCGTACTACTTTTTGGTTAATGGGGCAAAATATCACGCGGAGGAGAAGTCGACCGGACACAATCGGCTCCGACGGCTTCCCGGCTCGTTTTTGCGCGAATTCGGGAACCTCAATTAATTTATGGGAGACTTTGGGAGAACTTTCCCCACAACGTGGTCGAAGGTCGACGGGCGTCAGTCAGTACGGCGACAAGACCAAGTTTGAACGGGACCACCGCCCGCCACAGAACGCCTTAGCTAAGCCAGAACATACACACGAAACGATCGGCACTGGAAACGAAAAAACGCTTAGCGATTTGTTGCAGCACTCACTTAAGCCAAAGGTTGCAAGATTGCGATGTTACACACTGAACCACCGAGACGAGTGCCTGGCACCCAATTTCGTGCTGAAGCGCCTCAATTGTTGATGTTGTGTAAATCGGTCAGCTCGCTTGAGCGGGCGGCAGGGTTGCTTCTGAATGTAGTTAGGATCACCGTGCTGCATATAAGCGGACTACAAAGAAGAGGGATTTGGACCATCGCACCCAACACCGTGGCATATCAAAACTGCAGGTAGAGTCCTGGCGTCATGAGCAAATATTGCTTCACTACAGTGTGGCGGGTGGCTGTGGCAACTACGTGTTTTCTCCAGCTGTGTCCAGATTGGTGAGGCTTGCAACGTTCCCAGCGTAAGGGGACATATGTATGAATTGTGTAGGTGACAACACGGATTACTGAATGACGGGTGGAAGGGATAGCCGAAACGCTTCACTGCCTATTCTTTACCTTCTCTGGCGGCTTACCAGAGTTCAACAAAAAATGAGTAGCTCTCGTACTTTCAAGAAGGATTTACTGACGTTGGTCTAACATTCAAGCCAAGTTTGAGTCCTGTTCGACAACGACCTTGCTTTGACACTACCTCCCAACAAGTGGACAAAGGTTCAATCTTGCAAGTGAAGGAAAAACTCGACACCACGGTCAAAGGGGGGGGGAGAACGGTGAGCGTATTCCCGGCCATAGAAACTTGGGTAATCATCGCGGAAATAAGGCCCACGGAATGTTCCACATACATGCCATCCCTCCCGTGTGAAGGGTGCATTCAAGCATACCAAAAGGTGGAAAAACGACGCAAAAATCATCAACACGCACACAGGATCAGTTGACAGTGGCATCTGGAATCTGCCAGAGAACGGACCAAGCGTCCCCCTTTCGCTACTCCAGCACATCTCACCGTTGAAGTTGTTCCCGTAGAAATTCGCGTACAGCAGTGCCTTCAGGTGTCGAAACTCCTGTGGAATGGAGCCTGGGGAACGAACAAGGGGTACACATTGCGGCAGCACCGAAGGTTGATGATTTCAGCCACCGATTCATTCCTCCCGCGAGCGCAGGATATCCATGTCGGAATACCCCAGGTTCGGCAGTATTGTCGATCGAAACATACGATGAAGCACTAGGCCCACAATAGGACAATACCGAAGAATCTCTCGGACGGGCAGTGGATCATCGCGGGCAACATCAACCTCATGCTTCCTGGTGCTGCAGATGCGGTTAAGCCACGGAGAATGGATTCGTAATGTGTCGGCGTTCAGTTCGCCACACATTATGCCGGAGCATACCTCCTAGCGAACTCAGAGAAGGAATGGCTTGTGAGGTATCGACGGTAATATACAAAGTGCCATTACCTGCAAAATGATGTGCGAGCATCTTCTGTGTGATGTGGCTCTTTTTGCGGTGTTCGAAAATGGGAGGCGTTGCAAGACGAGAGAACCACAATAGGTCGTCATTTGCTGCTCTGTGGTAATCTTAGCGGACCTATCGCCGTCTTTCGAACACATGTCACCGGCAACGGCCAGAAGGGACAACCGGTACCCTTCTCCGACAGCACGGGTGCGTCTGCCCTTCTATGGGTGGCAACTCATTCATGGTGGGCAACAAATGAGTGGGGTATCTCGAGCAATTGGTCACGGGCACTGATCAAGCGGGGAGATGTCCGCACGACGTCAGTGCTGTACTACTCGTTGATGAGAAATACGTGTTTCTGGAGAGGTACATGATTGGCGAAATCAAAACAAAATTCAATGATTGACGGGCGTACACGTCGTGCTTTGCTGTGTGGTTCCGGTAGATTGGTTCTGAGGCCTGCCTAGTTCAATCGCGCTGCGCCTTCTCCATCCCACAAAAATCATCTTGTGCGCGGGATTTTGAGGCTAGGCATACGCCTACACGTACGGAATCAGAGATGCTGGATAAACAAGCAAGAGCGCGACCAATCGACGTTCGGTCTGACTGAATGCCCACTTGATAACTCCACTCACGGAAAGACGGCAGACAATAAAACGCTCAGGTCATCCAAACAACGGAGGTAGTACATGTGCCCATGATTTCGAACAGGAAATCGCCAATCCGAGTACGTCAGAGCCCAAACACGGTTTAACAGTTAGACCATCACGCCGCCGTAGACGCCGGACACTTGTAACCTTCCAACGCCACCAACATGAAGCCCTTCAAGACTGGCCTCTTGCGCTTGCCCAACGGCCCATGAAAGTTTAATGAGATGGCACGTCTGTTGGCACAAACCTGCCCAGTGTCGGCAGGCGAAGCTTTGATACTTGAGCGATGAAATCAACCACAACTAAACGCGGCTGTAGCGAATATTTCTGAGACACGTCAAACAACGCCATGACCACATTCGTCGTCAGGTAAGTTCGGACCCGCACCAGCGCTTTCAATCAAAGCATGGAAAATGAGCGACGCAAGACGTCGCAGGACTCTCTTTTGTCATTCTGCCTGAAGTTTTTTTCGAAAGTTTTTCATTGACATCTGACAACGCCTCTGTCCGCATTCCGCGATTGCCACTTTTGGGCGCATCCCTTCGCCCGACAATGATATTTTTGAAACCTGC